CACCATAAAGCCGAGGAATTTGCCCGAACTAACCCCGAATGCACATTTCTCGCGGTTGAGCTTCATGTTGTATTTTCTCAATATGTTGAAGGTTTCCTGCAAATGTGTCAAATGGCCCTCTGCGCGTAGGGACTTAACTAGCATGTCATCGATATAAACCTCCATTAATTTACCTATTTGTTCTTCAAACATTCGATTTACTAGGAGTTGGTAAGTAGTACCAATGTTTTTAGTCCAAACGGCATTACATTATAGCAATAAGTACCATACTTAGTAATAAACGAAGTCTTTTCCTGATCCTCCGAGCTCATTTGTATTTGGTTGTACCTAGAGTAGGCATTGAGAAAGCTGAGGATCTCGTGGCCGATCGTGGCACCGATCATGCGATCAATATTCGACAAAGGAAAAGAGTCCTTAGGGCATGCTTTGTTTATGTCTTTGCAGTCTACGCACATTTTAAGTTTATTCCCTTTCTTGGGGACTACGACTACGTCTGCTAACCATTCGGGATATTTTACTTCCCGGATGGATCCTATTTTGAGAAGTTTGGTTGCCTCATCCTTGATGAATGCATGCTTTACCTCGAACTGTGGCCTTCTCTTTTGCTTTACCGGTCTGAACTTTGGGTCCAAGCTCAATCGATGAGTGGTAATCTCCGGTGGGATCCCTGTCATGTCAAGGTGGGACCAAGCAAAACAATCCATATTTTTAATAAGGAATTTAGTGAGTTTTTCCCTGAGCTCGGGAGTTAACCCCGTGGCCAGGTATACCTTTCGATCGAGCAGATGTTAGATCAGTATGACTTGTTCCAGCTCTTCAACCGTTGACTTCGTGGCATCGGAATCATCATGGATTACAAAGGTCCGAGGTATCATATAATCATCATCCTCGATAATTTCCTGCTGTTACGATCTGGTCGAGGCCGGTGACTGTGGTTGCTATTTGACTTCCTGTTTTTCCTTTGATTCTGGTCCCTTTGTTGATGTTAGTGCCGATACTCGTATTACCTCATCAATTTCAAACATCTCTTTGGATATTGGTTGTTCGCCGTACACCATTTTGATTCCTTTTGGTGTTGGGAATTTCAAGACTTGATGAAGCGTTGAAGGTACTGCCCTCATATTATGGATCCTAGGTCTTCCGAGTAGTGCATTGTACCTCATATCACCTTCGATTACATAGAACTTCATTTCCTGGATAGTTTCGGCCACGTTCACTAGCAAAATGATTTCCCCTTTGGTGGTTTCACTTTCCATGTTGAAGCCGTTGAGTACTCGAGCTGCATGCAAGACTTGATCCTAAAGGCCGAGTTGCTCTATGACCCTCGATCGAATAATATTTGCCGAGCTACCTGCATCAACCAACACACGTTTAACTTGAATTTTATTCATAAGGATAGATATTACCAGTGTGTCGTTGTGAGGTTGTTCAATCCCTTCTGCATGCTCATCGTTGAAAGATAAGGTGTGTTCTGGTAAGTAGTCCCGGGTGCGCTTCTCCCTTGAGATTGTAACTTTGGTGCGTTTAAATATCGGGCTCTGAGGAATATCGACTCTACCAACGATCATATGAATCACGTGTTGCGATTCCTCCTATTCATTTTTTTTTGTTTGCATCCCTCTCTCTGAAATGATGTTTAGCTGGGTCACTCAAGAACTCTCGAAGATGACCTTCGTTGAATAAACGAGCTACCTCCTCCCTCAATTGCCTGCAATCTTCGGTTTTGTGACCATGGGTTCCACGGTATTTGCATATTTGATTAGGGTTTCTTTGAGCCGGGTCGGACTTTAGGGGTCTGGGACATCTAGTTTCTTTGATGCGTCCAATGGCTGATACAATACCCAATCCATCGACGCTAAAGTTGTATTCTTATAACTGTGGTGCTTCCTTGAGCTTGACATGTTTATCAAAACCACTCTTACTCATGAGCCCTCGGGAGTTTTATCCTCGATCATTTCGAACGGGATTACATCCTGATCCACTGTTTCTACGATCTATGATATATGGTTGGTACCGATCTCTGTTTGATCGGGGCTCTCTGTCGATGTCTCTTTGAATCCTGCCTTCGGATCTATTCAGATAAACGAAACTGGAAGGGGCTCACAACTGATCATCCTCGACCCTGATCTTTGACTGGTATCGGTTATGTACATCGGCGCAAGTCACAGCTCGATATTCAATCAAATTCTTTATAAGTTGTCGTGATGCTATCGAACTTCCCTCGTTCAAACCTTGGGTGAAGGCTTGGACGACCCAATCATCGATGACCGGGGGCAGGTCCATGCGTTCCATCTGGAACCGAGATACGAATTCCCTTAGCATTTCGTTGTCCTTTTGTCTCACTTTAAAGAGGTTCGATTTCCTAGTCGCGACCTTTATAGACCTGGCATGTGCCTTTACGAATGAATCAGCAAGCATGGTGAAGGAATCGATGGAATTGGGCGGCAAATTGTGGTACCATATCATTACCCCTTCGATAGAGTTTATCCAAAAAATTTTAACAAAACAGATTCTATTTCATCATCTTCTAAGTCATTTCCTTTTATTGCGCATGTATAAGAAGTGACATGCTCATTAGGATCAGTGGTTCCATCGTACTTTGGAATTTCTGGCATGTGGAATTTCTTCGGAATAGGCTTCGGAGCCGCACTTGGTGGGAAAGGCTTCTGTACGAACTTCTTCGAATCCAAACCCTTTAAAATCGGGGGTGCCCCCGGTATTTGATCAACCTGTGAGTTGTATGTTTCTACCTTTTTATCGTTAGCCTCAATTTTCTTTTCTTCTGATTCGATCCGCTTAGTGAGCTCCTAGAGAATTTTCATGATGGCGGGGTCAGTTCCCGATCCGTTATCGTTCGATTTTTCCGGTATAGGCTCGACCCTGTAAATAACTTCCTGTGATGCATCGAGTTCGATTCTGCTTGGTGCTCGATTCTGATTTTAGAGTTGCGCTATCGCAGCTTGTTAAGTCTGCAACATTTCAAATATCATCGAAGGCTAATCCCGCCTTCTTCACCACTCTATGCGTTCTGATCGGCTGCCGAGGCGTCTCTGCAGACGCTATTTTCAGAGTCGACGCCTAAATTTCCATGAATCGCAACACGAAATTGACATCAACTAGATCTACGGCCTGTGGTCCATCGGGATTGATTGGAGGTAATCCGTTTCTTGGGCGACTATGTGCTCGTTCTCGCCATGAAGACCAAGGCCGGTGTCTGTGTGAGTGGGCACTGCTTGAGAGTTTGACATGTTGATTCGTAAAATCAAAGACACTTACGAGAACAAGTGTAAAAGCAGTGTGTGTTATGAGGATTAATACTAGGAAAACATTATTATTCTTAGCCCCACGGTGGGCGCCAAACTGTTTACCCTAAAAATTGGATAACAATTAAACATATAATGTGGTTTTAAGGATATGTGATTTCACCTATTACCAATTGATAAACGTAAAGATAAGTGATTCAAATTGACAATAATATAAAGCAAACCAGCGTTTGAACAGAGCCCTCGAGCTCAGACACCCTCGAGCTAGTTATGCAAGAGTAGTTAAAATACAACGAGCCGATAAACAAGAGAATGTAAGCTAAAGAGAGAATACTATATTGCTTTGATCTGTGCGAATGTAAGGTGTCTACAAATGATGGGGACTCCTCTTTATATAGTAGAGGAGTCCTAATTATGGTATAATTCTAATTATAGAAGTAAATCCCATGATTAGCCTAAACAACCTCTCTTGATCTGATCCGTTCCGGAATTTTCGCTGTGATCTTCGACCGGCTACGGATATCTCACCTTTTCATTATCGCGCTTTGTTCGAATTCTGTCATATATGGTCTCGATCACTGTTGGCCTCGATCTCGACGAGCACCCCGATTATCGAGCTTGATACTTTATCTTCGTGATATGACCTGATCCATTATGAGACTGACCCTCGACGTGATTCCCTGGTCTTCGATTAAATGGCAAAATCGGACAAGTCCTATTTTAACCGTATAAAAATGATTCTTAAATTGGTCTACAAGCTACATTGTGCTCTAATATATCTGCTGCCACCGGCCACACCCCCACCGTAAAGGAAAAAGGAAAATAAAGTATTTAATTTTTCCAACTATTAACCATTGAGAGCAGGAAGTTGAGTCCCAGTGGTGCATGTACCAATAATGGAAGAACCCCTGCCTAATACAGAAAGGGTTTCTCTCCACAGACTCTATATCAGGGAATTCCTTCACTACAACAGTAACAATAAGTCTTCGATGAGGTGAGTTACCATTATATACTCCCTCCGTTTCAATTTATGTGAACCCATTTGACTGGGCACGGAGTTTAAGAAAAGAGAGAAGACTTTTGAACTTGTGGTGTAAAATGAAGCACATATATTTTGTGTGGCTATAAATCATTGCATAAAGGTAAATTGTTTTCAAATAGGGAAAAAGGGTCATTCTTTTTGGCACGAACTAAAAAGGAAATAGGTTCACATAAATTGAAACGGAAGGAGTATAACTTTTCATTGCCATTTTAAATAGTAAAGTGCAGAATATATCCTTAAACATTTTTCAGCCTTTCACCTGTTAGAAAATTTGGGAGAGCAAGACAACACAAAAGAACACTCAAAACTCACAAAGAAGAAAGTAGAGGAAGGATGATTTCTCTTCAACTTGACTTACTTCAAATGGCTAGGAATACATAACTATTTATAGGGAAAATCCTTCATGTATCTAGCCTAGAGGACATGTAAACACACTAATCATGTCCACACTTCAAATATTCCAAAGTAAATCAATGTGTTCATGCTACTATTACATGTACTAACTTAATATTCTAGTTCATGAACTAATGTAGACTAATGTAAATAAATGTGAACAAATGAAGAACAAGTTTATAATTTTCACATTTCAACATCCCCTTAAACTTGTTTCATCATTCCAAGAGTCTTCCTTAGCTTTTGAAAAAGATCAATCTTCAACGGCTTGATGAAAATATCCGCAATTTGGTCTTGTGACTTCATGTGCTCAAGCTCCATAACCTTATTTTCATGTCCTTCAACCTTGCAATGTAAAACTCTTTCTCTAAAACACCATTCAAGAAAGCCGACTTCACATCCATTTGTTGAATTTTCCATTGATTTAGAGCCTTGGAATTTTTCTTCAACTTGTACACCCATTTGATACAAATGGTGCTTTTATCTTCTGAAAGTGTGGCTAATTCCCAAGTATCATTTTTCTTGATTGCCATGATTTCTTCATCCATGGCATCTCTGCATTTGGCATATTGGGCAGCATCTTCATAAGTTAAAGGCTCACTTTCCACCAACAAACAAAAGTTAGTCGATTCATATAAATTTTCTCTTACCACTTCTGTATTTTCATACAACTCACGAAAGCTTTTAGTTTTCTTAGGCACTTCACTTGAAGAACTTGAACATGACTCATCTTCTTGTTGAACTTGTGCTGGAGGTGTTGAAGGTGTGTGATAGGCTGCTCCCTAACTTCTTCATCATCATCTTCATCAAATAAAAGACTAAAAGAGTAATCTTGCTCTTCAATTTTCTATTCCCAAGCATTATCTTCATCAAACTCAACATCTCTGCTTATGGTGACCTTGCCATTTCTTGGATTATATAATTTATAACTTTTAGAACTTTGATCATAGCCAATAAAAATATACCTCTCACTTTTATTATCAAGCTTAGACCTCTTCTCATCCGGCACACGTGCATATGCAATGCTCCCAAAAACTCGCAAATGAGCAACTTTTGGCTTGAAACCACTCCAAGCCTCTTGAGGTGTTTTGTCATGGATACTCTTGGTGTGACACCTATTTGATAAATACACTGCACAAGCAACTGCTTCAGCCCAAAACACCTTTGGCATATTTTTGCTCTTCAACATACTCCGTGCCATGTTGAGAATAATCCGGTTCTTTCTTTCCACGACGTCATTTTGTTGTGGTAATCTTGGAACAACCAACAAATGACGTATTCCACTATTTCCACAAAAAACCTTGAATTCATTTGAAATGAATTCTCCACCATTATCGGACCGCAATGACTTAACTTGATAGACACTTTATTTCTCCACCATGCTCTTGAATTTTTTGAAAGTATCAAACACCTCCGGTTTTACCTTCAAAAAATACACCCAAGTTTTTCCAGAAAAATCGTTAATGAAAAGTAAAAAATAATTACTTTTATCAAGTGAAGATGGCTTGATTGGCCCACACACATCCATGTGAATCAACTCCAATGGTCATCGGACTCTAGTCAAAGACTCTTTAGGGAAGCTTTTTCTTGCTTGCTTTCCAAAGAGACATGCTTCGCAAAGTTGGCTCGGATGATCAATAGTTGGCAATCCATTCACCATGCTTTCTTTCTTCATCAACCTTAGACTAAAGTTCACATGACCAAATCTCATATGCGAAAGCGAGGATGAATCTTTGGTACATGAAAGCAACACCTTGGAACATCACATTGAAGGTCCAAAATAAATATTTTATTATTAGCCATAGGAACTTTGGCTAACATACTCCCATTTTCATCTCTCAAGAACAACTTTTTATCTTTCAAATGAATATCATAATTTTTCTACAAAAGCTGTCCCAAACTTAAAATATTACTTTCATCTCCGGTACATACAAAACATTAGAAATTAATTGGTGACTACTATCTTTCATGCGAATTAAAATCGTACATTTTTCTTTGATTTTAACCCGCGAAGAGTCTCCAAAAGTGATGTTGCCACCATTCAATTCTTCAAGCTCCACAAATAAATTTTTCTTTCCACAAATATGGCTACTTGCACCGGAGTCAAGGTACCATTGATTTCTCTCTACACTTTCTTCTCTTTTGCCAGCGAGAGCTAAAATTCCATCTCCATCTTTATTTTTGCTCTCCGCAAATTATTATTTTTTTCCACATTTTTTTTACATTCCCCGGAAAAATGACCAAATTTAGGACAAGTATAATATTCAATATTAGACTTATCATACCTTCCTAGATTTTGCCTCCATCTTCTACCTCTTCCATGACCACTTCCTTGATTAGAGTCTTGGCTCCTATTTCCTTTATATGGTGGTTAGTTACCACCTCTTCCTTTTCCACCAAGACCTTGTCCACGTCCACGACCTCTTTGTTGTGATCCACGCCATTCATCTTTTTCCTTGAAAGAAAGTTTTGCTTGCAACGCTTGTTCAACTGATTCTTCTTTCGGTTTCTTCAACTTTTCTTCCCGTGCTTGCAAAGAACCCGTGAGTTCTTCGATGGTCATGGTATCCAAATCTTTGGACTCTTCAATAGCCACAACAATATAATTAATTTTTGAATCAAGGGATCGTGGTATTTTTGCAACGACCCTATCATCACTCAAGTCTTCACCATATCTCTTCATTTAATTGACAATAGCCAAAACTCTTGAAATATAATCTGAAATGGATTCAGATTCCTTCATATGCAATGATTCAAACTCTCCTCTTAAGGTTTGGAGACGAACTCTTTTCACTTTATCTAAACCTTTAAAGGGAAGTTTGAAGAATCTCCCATGCTTGCTTTGAGGTGATTGCATTTGCAACCTTCTCAAACATCTTGTCATCCAAACTTTGATGGATGAGAATGAGTGCCATCTTTCTTTTTAAAAGGCAGCGTCATTTTCCGCTCCATCACCTCCGATTTCCACGGTTCCCAAAATATCATAGGCACCAAGCAAGGCCTTCATTCGGATACACCAATTTTCATAGTTCTCTTTTGTGAGCTTAGGAACTCGAAATGGAGTTCCATTACTATTTGTCATTTTCTCTCCAAGCTTGGTTGTCTCTCAAGCACACAGGCTCTGATACCACAATGTTAGAAAATTTGGAAAGCAAGAGAACACAAAAGAACACTCAAAACTCACAAAGAAGAAAGTGGAGGAAAGAATAATTTCTCTTCAACTTCACTTACTTCAAATGGCTAGGAATACATGACTATTTATAGGGAAAATCCTTCATGTATCTAGCCTAGAGTACATGTAAACACACTATTCATGTCCACACTTCACATATTCCAAAGTACATCAATGTGTTCATACTCTAATACATGTACTAACTTAATATTCTAGTTCATGAACTATTGTAGACTAATGTAAAAAAATGTGAACAAATGAATAAGAAGTTTATTATTTTTCACATTTCAACATCCCCTCGTATTTTTTTTTTTTTTTTTTTTTTGTGCAGGTCTGTAGTGTTAAAAATAAAAATTGCCTAATTCTAGTCAATTTTAGTGGAAATAGAACACTAAGTTTCTTCAAAGAAGAGTTCTGAAAGTTCATCATCTGGGCATTTATTCCTATTGGGCATCTCAACAACTATGTTACATAAAATTGGGTGCAGACATCCAACACAAGTATGGATCTAAGAGCTGGATCATCATCACCGTAACACATGAGCACCAGTTGTTCCAAGAGAAAACACACAAAGAGGACATTAATGATGATTTATACTCTTTCACCTTTCTAATCTGCAAATATTTTCTTTATTCCTCAATCGTAGAAATAAGCTCTGGTAGATTGAATCTATCAAGCATCAACTCAGGCGAAGCAGCAAAAAGGATCTATCATCTCATAGTAGTCTGAACTGATCATGAGTAGGGGCGAAAAGGAATGGAAACATCAAAATTAGAAAATTCGAGCATTTAAAGTTGTCACTAGCAAGGAAAGTTTGCATTAATAATCAACACAAGAATCAGAGTTTACCAACGTGACTTCATATATGCATGCTGGTGCATGATTTATTGCTTTTCATGTTAAGGAGTAAAGTTACCAAAATGCACTACAGATTGCCGCCCTTAAATTTTGAATGAACCGTGAAACTTGAGATGGTTTCTATGTATTTACATTGTATACGATCAAAATCGAGCCTGCCCTTTTTGTATGATTAATCGAGACAGGGGCATGGCAGGCCAAGGTTCGACCCCATGTCATACCGGACGGTGACACAAAGTTAGATTGCCAAGCTCGTGACTCAGGGACCGATCGAGATCGAGATCAGCCAAGATCGAGACCAAGCAGGATAGAGATCGAGCAAGATCGAGGGAAGTCTGCCGAGCCAAATAACGGAAAGCCAAGAGATCCGCGATCGGGCGAGGATCACAGCGGAAAATCTCAGCACGTATCAAGAAGAGGCCGATTAATCAGTTAATCATGGGATTTCTTACTGTATTTAGGATTGTATTAAGGGTAGTACTCCCCTACTATATAAAGGAGGTCTGATCATTTATAAAAGACATCATATTCACGCTACATAAAGCAATATACTATCTTTCTCTTAAGCTTTCAATACTCTGTTACTCTGTTCATACTTTCTAGTGAAATATTTGTTTAATTCGAAGGCGACCTAGCTCGAGGATCAAAGTGATACATTTCCTTTGGTTTGCTCCATTTCTATTTGCAGTTAATTTCAATATCAATTTGTGTTTTTTCTCAGTTTGTGCCAAGTAAAATCACGTGTCCTTAAAACCACGATATAAATTCAATTGTTATCCGTTTTTAGGGTAAACAGTTTGGTGCCTACCGTTGGGATAAGGATAGTAGTGATTGCCTGGTACAAACTTTCGTAACATACACTAATTTACATTTGTTCTTTGAAGTATCTTTGATTACAGGATTAAAAAATGTCAAACTCTCACTCAGCACCTCAACACATTGACAATGACCTCAGCCACCATGGCGAAAATGAGAACATTAAACCAGGAAAAGTTGTACCCCCTGCTGGCCTCGATGGAATTCCGCTGTAGATCCAATCAACGTCAGTTCGCATGTAGCCATCAATGGAAATTTGGCCGTCGATCCCGAAAGCAGTGTTCGCCAGGGTACCCGATCAGCTACTCAGAACGCATATGGTGATGAAGACGGCGGGATCCGCATGCTGGTGATCTTCGAAATGTTGCAGGCCCAACAGGCAACAATAGCCCAGCTCCAAAATCAGAACCACACACCGAGCAGGGTCGAACTCGAGCCATCCCAGGAAGTTGTACATAGGGTCGAATCGGCTTATAGGAAATCGAATGAAAAGGAATCGGAGACCAATCCTGCTATCACAAAGATGCTCGAAGAACTGACAAAGCGAATCGAGACAGGGGAAGAGAAGATCGAGGAAAACGATAAGAAGGTGGAAACCTATAACTCCGGGGTCGACCAAATCCCAGGGGCACCACCAATATTGAAAGGACTAGATTCCAGAAAGTTTGTACAAACTTTCCCCCCAAGTGCAGCTTCGAAGCCAATCACCAAGAAGTTCCGTATGCTCGAGATTGCTAAGTATAACAGGATACCTGGTCCAAACGAACACGTCACCTCCTAGACGTGTACTATCAAAGGAAATGACTTGGAAGATGACGAGATCGAATCCGTCTTGCTGAAAAAATTCGGGGAGACTTTATCGAAGGGTGCTAGGATATGGTATCATAACTTACCGCCTAATTCTATTGACTTGTTTGCTATGCTTGCAGATTCTTTTGTAAAGGCACACGTCGGGGCCATTAAGGTCGCAACAAGAAAGTCGGACCTTTTCAAGGTAAGGCAGAAGGACAACGAGATGCTCAGAGAATTCGTATCTCGATTCCAAATGGAACGAATGGATTTGCCACCGGTCACCGACGATTAGGCTATTCAAGCTTTCACTCAAGGTCTCAACGTTTGGAGTTCCATAGCTTCACAGCAGCTGAAGCAGAATTTGATCGAATATCCAGCTGTCACTTGGGCCGATGTACACAATCGGTATCAGTCAAAGATCAGGGTCGAGGATGATCAACTGGGGGCTCCTTCTGGGTCCATTTATCCTAACAGGCCCGTGGATAGAATCAAGAGGGATATCGACCGAGAACCAAGGTCGAAACCGTATAATGGAGACCGTAGAGGCAGCGGATTTGGGCAAA